CCCCCCCCCAATCCCACATGCATACTACCCTTAGGGGCTAAGCCCCGGGTGTATAAAATGTCTGACTCCGCCTCTGGTCTGAATTAATCCACAATTTTAGGGAACTGCAAATGGAGGTGCCCAGAAATGTGAAAGAATCTGTTACTGTAATTTGTTGAGTGTTGATATGGAGTGGGGGCTTTGGTGTTCTGAGAGTGCCTGAAGTTCACAGCATTCTCAAAGGTTCTGCAATTGTTGAGCTGGAGGTCATTGTCAGTGCCCCAGGAGAATACTTTGTCCACCACTATCTGATACTGTGTTTCGTTGTTGTCAGTGGTGATGGCAATGATTGTATCATCTTCATATTTGACATTTCTTATAGAGCTACCATGTGATGTTAGCCCATTTATGAACCGTTAGACTACATTTTAAAACTACTGTGCCAAAAAGCACACATTTAAGAAGCCTCTTCCTAAATTCACCCAGCTGTCAGGCTACATGAGACATGATATAAATTACATTGTTCCTACTTCCCACCTACGGACAGGATGAAATTCTTCTGGTGCTCTTTTTTCTATATATAACCTAATCTGTTTAATGTGTCAAAGAGTACATTTAAGAACCAAACTTCATAAGTAAAGTGAAGTTCTGATGCATCTGATATAATATGGAATTACAATCTGTGTTCATTCTGGAGATTAAAAAAAATACAAATTATATTTCCTACAAAAACGTCGTTTTAACAATTGTTCCTTTAATCCACTTGTTATGCAATTATAGAATAATGCTTTTTTGCAAATAATATAATTGATATTTCTTATCTAGATGGGTGGATCGGCAGTAGTCTGATGTGGCAGATGTCTAACAGTCTCCTTATTTGAGGTTGTCTTTTCAGAGGGTTGTATGAGGATGAAGTTTCCCACAGACAATTTTTAGAATGGATTTTATTTTGAAACCAAACCACCGGAAGTCTTCCTCGTTTCTAGAACATGCTGCTGGACCTGGTGCCCGTTCGGCACTTCCGGGCTTCGCTTCGCTTTCTTGATGGTGCTGGCGGCTGATTGTTTAGTAACTGCAGGTCTGTTTCATACCGTCAAGATGGACATTGGCGAGCAGGCAAGTACCTAAAATGTGCTGACATCGCCAAATTACATAAACTGTCTGCTGTAGGAAGCGCGTCATAGTTTGGCTCGGTAATACACTGAATTTAATGTTTATGGTTAGATGTCGGTTTATGGTTCAGTAATAAAATTAGCTA